GGTACAGTCGCATTGATAGTTTCTTCATAAAGAATGGGTTCAGGAGATGTCCTTATGAACATGCTCTCTACACCAAGGAAGACAAAAGTGGAAATATTTTAATAGTTTGCTTATATGTTGAAGACTTAATTTTCACCAGCAGTTATAAGAAGATGTGTGATGAGTTCAAGATGTCGATGATGAATGAGTTCGAGATGACAGATATGGGTTTTCTCCTTGGAATCGAAGTTAAGCAGGAAAATGATGAGATCATAATTTCACAAAAGAAATATGCAAAAGATTTGCTTGCAAAGTTCAAAATGGAGGAAGCCTCACCAAGTACAACACCCATGGAAGTAGGTTTGAAGTTGAGAAAAAATGATGGGAGTGAAGATTTTGATGCTACTGTCTATAGAAGTCTTGTAGGAAGTCTTATGTATTTAACTGCAACAAGTCCAAATTTAATGTTTTCAGTTAGCATGCTAAGCAGGTTCATGGCAGCACCAAAGCAAAGTCATTGGGATACTGGAAAGAGAATTCTAAGATATGTTCAAGGTACAATTGATCATGAAATTCATTATAAGATGGGTCAAAATTCAACTTTGACCGGATATAGTGATAGTGATTGGGGCGGTAGTGAAGATGATCACAAAAGTACTTCTGGTTATGTCTTTAACATTGGTTCAGGTGCAATATCTTAGGCATCAAAGAAGCAACCTGTAGTAGCACTTTCAACTACAGAAGCTGAATATATTTCTCTGTCCACAGCTGGTTGCCAAGCACTATGGTTGAAATGGATATTAGAAAATTTAAATTATTTTCCGGTGAAAGATACTGTTCTGTTTTGTGATAATAATTCAACAATTGCACTTAGCAAGAATCCAGTTTTTCATGGCAGAAGCAAGTATATTAGAATTAAGTATCACTTTATTAGAGATTTGGTTAAAGATAGAGAAATTGTCATCAAACACTGCAAGATCGAAGATTAGATTGCAGACATTTTTATAAAAGTATTGAAGTTAAAAAGTTTTATCAAATTGAAGGAGAAACTTGGAGTTGCACAAGTCTAACTTAAGGGGGGATGTTGGAAGATTAATCTAGACTTGTCTAGATTCATCTAAGAAAACTAAGTGATATTTGGGAGGTGCAAAGAATCTCATAATAATTGCTAGTACATGGAACATTTTGGTGTATATGAAATATTTTGGTTCATTGTGTGGTTCATTGCATGTATTAAATTCATGTACTAGAAGTATCCATTGAGTAGTATAAATAGGTGAGTCATGTAAGTGTATTTCAACACATAAACAATCGAGCAATACAAGATAAAGTATTCGGCTTTATAGAAGTGAGAGTTTGTGTTCATTTGCCCACCAACTCCAACACTTATTTATAAAATTATCTTACTGATTTCGAGAACCTTTTAATTGTTTGGAAGGATAAATTTTGAAAATCTTTCATTCTGTTAAAATTATATATATATATATACACACACACACACACACACACTTTTAAAATTATTTTTAGTGGTATTACATGACTGGATTTGAGAATCTTGGCATTTTAAACAACACACTGCAAGTACTTCATGTAAAAAAAATATCAATTCAAGGGTAAAGTGCATAAATTTCCCTCTAACTATTGTTCATTTGCAAATAACCCCCTTAAATTAAGAATTACCCCATAAACTATTGTTTATTTACAAATAACCCCCTTGAATTAAGATTACTCCCCTAAACTATTGTTCATTTGCAAATAACCCCCTTGAATTAATAATTACTCCCCTAAACTATTACTTTTTTTGCAAGTAAGGACACTCCGGCTAGTTGTAGGTAACGAAAATGTTGAAAGACTATTTTACCCATGCAAAAAAGTCAATGTTTCACTCCTCAACCTCCTCTTAAGTCAATGATGTGGAATAAACAACCAATCATATGTTGACAAGTCACCTAAGATGCTATACAAGCCAAGCGTGTATATATATATATATATATATATATATATATATATATATATATATATATTGTGGAATAAACAACCAATCCTATGCTGACAACTCACCCAAGTTACTATACAAGCCAAGCGTATACCGCGTCTATATATATATATAGAAAGAAAGAAAGAGAGAGAGAGAGAGTGAAATATAAGACTTTGGTGAAAGGCTCAACCAACACTAATAAAGGCCTGATAATTGGCGATGAAAATTTTGTGTTGCTGTTTCGAGATCCACTGACGTGGCTGCTGTTGCGACTGCGTTTACTTGTGATTGGGTTTGGCGATGGATGGAGAATTTTGCGATTGGATTTGCGGTGACAAAATATTATTGAGGGTTTTGCAAGTGGGTTTGCTTGTGATTATGTCTTGCAAATACGTTATTGTGATTGGGTGGTGGCGATGTATTAAGAATTTTGTGATTGGGTTACTTGTGATTCGGGCGAGAATTTTGCAATTGGGTTTCCTTGTGATTGGGGTTGAGAATCAATTCTATAAAATCAAATTTCTCTCTTTTTCCTAATAACCATTGCCATGAATATAGATAATGTGGACAAGAGTTAAATATATATATATATATAGAGAAAGAGGGGGGGCGGGGGGGCAGCGGGAGAGAGGGCGATTCAATTAAGAAGATTTTTTATTTATGCATCTGCACATGCGTGGTGAAGAAGATGAACATAATATATTTTTTAACTATGTGTGTGTGTGTGTATATATATATATATATATATATATATATATATATAGTGTATATATATATATAGACAGAAGGGTGTAAGGGTGTTATTGTCATTAAATAAAAAATAACCCATCACGTGGCAGGCATGTGACTAACTTTTCATCTGCATGTTGCCGGATTGGGTATCTTGCAATGAAATGAGATAGTTTAAGGGATTTTTTTGTATAAAATATAATTTAGGGGAGTTTGTTGGGAGAGAGAGTATAATTGAGGGGGGGTTTTTGTGCACTTTACCCTTGATTCAATTGCATTCTTAATTTTTCTTCTTCTTTTTACAACAATATATAAAAAGTATCATCAAACACCGGAAAAGCTTTCTTCAATCCTTCTTCCAACTTTTAGAGACCAAAGCATCAATCTCTCTCTGTCTCTCCAATACCCCTAAATTTAAATACCTTCTGGTTTTTTTTTACACTATACGCTTTTATATTTTGATGTCCATATACATAACACATACAACAAGGCACTAGGAAATAAATAACGGATGTTATGTTTATTATCTTTAAATGTTGAAACATGACACATAACGAATATCAAAACTTTTTCCAGTGCTTAGCTACTATTCATCTTGGAAGCTTAGCTAGCTTGATTGGGAAATTAATGTTAGGAGGAGATTTGAAATAAGTGTTCGGTTGTATGAAATTGGAGTCTTGAAATTAAAATTTGAAAAAAATAATTAAGAAAGTTGAATAATTTTTTTTTCCAATTCTACAAATTTCAATCCGACTCCAATTCCATACAACCGAACACAACCAAAAAAAAATCTTAAATTGTAAATCATAAAATCAACCAATATGTTCGCATTTGATTACAAATATAGAAAAATAAACTAGCACTCTATAATTTTCCATTGGGCAAATGTTGTCCCTATGAGGCAATTTTACTAAATAAATGTATACAGGTGGTTTTGGGATTTGTACTCCCAATCTCGAAATTCTAAGATAAAATTAGGTCAAAGAGTTTGGTGGATGAAAAGTACTTAGGGAGGCTAAAAATACACAGCATCGAAGTCCAAATGTTTTTTATTTTTTTTGACAAGAAGGTTTGTACCAATTGGGCTATTGCCCATTTTAAATGGGTTGAATCCTTGTTGAAAGATTCTAAAAGGCCAACTGGATCATAGAAAGAACATCATAGAGCAAATTCCTGTGGGGAATTGGAATCAATTGTTGGAGTAGTAGATCTAAGTCTCACCGTTCTTCTAATTGGTATATAGCTCTTTTGCTCTACTCTAGCTCCCATGTTGTATAAGTTAGATTTTCGCTATGCTCTATGCAATTTAAGGGTACAATTGACTTGATTAATTTGAGCCAAGGTAGGATTTGTTGAGATTATGACTCAGAATCTTAGTTTGATTAGGTTATTCCTTTATATGTGAGAAATATTATGTAATTTTGAGAATGTGATCCCACCAATTACAACTGAACATGCAATTAAATGTGAAAATTTTATGAAGTTTAATAAAATTTTCACTATTTTAACTTCATAAAACTTTCTCTAGAAATCAAAATTTTCTTGTATATTTTGTAGAATTATTTTTTTAGGAAATAGGTTATTATGGAAAGTAATTTTTCGTCAAAAATTTTCTTTCAACAAATCCTGAAAGTGTTCAGAAAATTTTCATTTCCTTTCTTTTATTGCTATTTATTTCCAAACTAAACATAAGTGATTACGCAGTAGACAATGAGAATTTGTTGAATAATAAATGGGTGGCAAAATCGTGTTAATTATATCTTGTATTTGTTATATAATATTTATTATATTTACTTTCGCTTTAGTATTATTGCACACGAGCTCTCTTTTTTGGCTTTTCTTGTTGGGAGCTGCAATAATCAAACACAAATAACAACTAAGCCGTGTTTTTAGTGGTTAAAGTCTGTGTTTTTCATTCTTCTTGATATTACATAGCTGGTTATAAGAATCTTGACCTTATAACTCTGGGAGATAGGTTTTGAGAATCTTTCAAGGAACTTATTAATAAAACATCTTATTGATTTCGAGAACCTTTTAATTGTGTAGATTTTGAATGATAAGTTTTGAGAATCTTTGAAATGATCGGTTAATAAAATTATGTTATTTTGGTCCTTGAATGAAATGGAGCTAATTGTGAAACCAACGTCATTCAAATAATGACATCTTCTGATTTTCTATTTCAGCATTAGTCTATTTTATATCACCAGTCAAATTAAACAGCAAGTAATACAGTCATAAAAGGTTCTAACTCAAACAGTCCAAACTCAACCAAATGAAATATTGACCTTTTTAACTCTCTTCGAATAATAAATTTTGAGAATTTTTTAGATTATTCGATAATATTAATAATAAATTTTGAGAATTTTTTAGATTATCAGTTAATGAAGTGGAATATTCAAAGAATTAAATATGCAGATACATATGGGGGCAACTTGAAATGCAAGTGGGTGTTACGTGACTTTAACTTGAGCAACCCATAACCCAAGTCCAGCTAGGGGGGACCTTAATGCTAAATATAAGGTCCATATTCTTATTAAATAACCATAAAAATTGGAGGAAATTAAACATGTTTATGATTCCTCCACTTACTTACCAATTCGGATAGTGACTTTGTAGAGGATCCATCTTTATTTAAGACATTTCTAGCAGCGCTCTGCAAGGATTTTATTCTGCCGCGAATCAAACTCCCTTCTTCTGCTTCCATTAGATTCTTTGCTATTTTTGCAATTTCCTCTCGACCCACCAGACCATGTTCATTAGCTTGTGGACGCAAAGCCACTTTTAGTCCCTCATGTAACATTAGAGCATTCATCTTTTGCTCCGCATAAAGTGGCCAAGCAATTAGTGGCACCCCATGGACCACACTTTCTAGGGTCGAGTTCCAACCACAGTGAGTTATGAACCCACCGGTTGAACCATGGCTCAGGACCTCAACCTGTGGTGCCCAAGAGTGCACCACCAGTCCTCGCTCTTTTGTCCTGTCCAAAAATCCATCTGGTAAGAAACCAAAAGGATCGTCTTGGCTTTGGACGCTAAAGAATGCAGCATTGGCAGCTGCATCATTTGGGCTTCTTACCACCCACAGAAATCTTTGCCCACTCATTTCCAACCCAAACGCCAGTTCATTGAGCTGCTCACTTGAGAGGGTCCCGCCGCTTCCGAAGGCGACGAATAGGACCGAGCCACTTGGCTGATTATCCAGCCATACCAAACACTCGGGCCTATCCGGCCCAGTACTTGAACCGGTCTGAATAAGCGGCCCAATGGGATAAACCGGCGGCTTACCAGGTTCTTCCTCCTGCAAAGCTTTTATAGCCCCCTCTTCCATATCCATGAAACTATTCACTAAAATCCCCTCACATGAAGTCAACCGCTTCACCTGTTGAAGAATTCCCTTGTATGCTGGGTTGGAGCGGTCCTGAACCGGGTCCAGGAGATCTTTTCCAGGAACCGGGACGCAACCCGGAAGTTGAACCGGTTGAGGTAAGTCTCTGTATTCACATGAAACTGTTTGATCAAGAAGTGGCAAATGAAGGCAAAACAACAGAGTCATCGCCGGCGCTGCGAATAACAAGTACGGCGAGACGTGAAGTTCATCTGCGACACGGAAGGCTTCGGTGGCGAACGGATCTACGACGAGAGCGACCAAACGGGTGGTCGCAATTAACGACTTTAACGTGTCGCGGAGAGAGGAAAGAGAGCCAGACACGGTGAGGAAGATTTGGGTCTCGGCTTTGATTTCCTGAGTGGACTCGTGGAAGCTAACCGGTGGGAGAAAGATGTGGTTTACGCCGACGGGGAGGGATTGGAGGACGTCCTTTTGGGCTTTGGATGGTGGTCCGGTGGTGGGGACGATGATGGTGACGGAGAAGTTGTGGTGGAGAACGAGTCGCTTGGCGAACTCGGAGAGTGGGATGAGGTGACCCATTCCTGGACTGGGTAGGATGCCTATATGGGGTGTTTGATCCATAGTTGCTATGCTATCCCCTGAATAAAATTTGGGGATTCAAAAATAGTTAGTAGATGACGACTACATATGCATAGAGAGAGTTCTATTATAGAACTTCAAAAGCCCAACTTCTATATAATGTGTTGGTGTGATGGGTGAGGTTCAGTTTCAATTTGTATCTTGATTGTTGGATGAATTTTTTTTATTTTTATTTTTATTTTTATTTTTTCCCTCTTATCTATCAGTCATGTGTCCTCCTAAATTTAATTTTTTTATCTTTTAAATAGCTCTTCGCCTCTTCCACATTAGCTTTGAAGCCACACCTAATTTTTTTCCTAATAGAGTTGATTATCAATGACCAAACAGTCAAAAGGAGACGTCAAACAAAAGCGAAGCTTCAAGAAGAATGCTAATACAAACGACGACGTAAGGATGCTTTTCCTAACCGATTCAACCATAAGTCTATATAACTAAATAGTAAATGCCACTCTTTGATGTCCCAGATAATAATGATATAAATATTTTGGAACAATGGCAAAAAGAAAAAAGTGCTGGGTTTGGAACTATTTTATTTTGCTGAAATCTATACTGAACAATGAAAATTCACTGACTAAGTAGTCTATAGAATTTTATTTGACTCAAATTGATTGAGAATTTAATTTATTATGAATTTCTGAAGTGAAGTATAACTTATTCTGAAAAAATGCTTTTAGAACATAAATTCTTTTACTGAACCGATTTGTGAAATAATTTACAAAAACAATTTGTTGACAATAAAGTTTAGTCTGCTAGTTTTCAACTGCAATTGGTTTCATATAAATTGGGATAATAAGCTTTTTTTAGGGAATTTTCAAAGAAAATACGTTTGTGCCAAAATGGTACTTGGAGTTCTGTAACAGCAGAATCTTTAATAAATCTTATTACCTTAGGTAAGAAACACAATTACTCACCTACTTTTTTTTGGGTGGGGGGGGGCATGACTATGAATATTCTATTTTGAAAAGTAAAATAAGATTATTGACATTTTATGAAATTTTGAACATTAGTTGTTGCTAAAAATATATATATATATATATATAGACGAAGACAGCCTGAGTAAAAGAAATTGAATACTGGTCACATATTTGAAATTGGACTTGCAATGTGATAGGTGTGTATTTATGAATTTGTCGTTGTAAAATACACTCCACATAAAGAATAAATACCTACTACCATTTAACTAAAAATGTCTTATGGTAAATAAGATCGAATCACACATTCAAATGAGTTTTTGTTTTCAGACAAGAGATTTTAAAACATTAATTTTGAATTTTGTCACTAACTAGAATTAACTCAAATCATAAAGAAATGAACATTGAAAAACATTAGAATAAGAAAATTCAAGTATATAAATTGAGAACAAGAAATTGATGAGTAATACAACAGAACAATGCAAAGAAATTACAACTAGAACAAAAGGGAAAACTCTCTAATAATCTATTCTATCACCATCTCTATATTGGTTATTTATAGCCAAAATTGTGTATCCCCATTTGTTGCCTTCTGATTAATACTTTTCTGACTTCTTTCTTCCTTCACGTCACCTCTTCACGTGCACACACATCTCTATACACAATATAGCGGACGTGACGCATGTAGGTGGTGACATGGTAGTGATTGGACATTAATGCTGACGTGGCATGTGACAGGATGTGTACCAAAAACATAACATTATTGTGTTTTAACTTGAGACCTCTTAAAAAGATATTTATACAACACACCAACTTTCCTACAATGCTCCTTGTGTACATTTTTTGTTATAAATAAATATAATTGTCTTTTTGCAGCCAACTCTTCACTTATTTTTCATTTTTGTTTCTTTTCTTCTCATTCATGTATTAACACTTACAAAACACAAAATAAGCATATAAGAATATTTAAATAGTATAAAAGTCTAATTAAAAATTTATTTTGACACATGATATAATAGATTTTGTGTCGCAATGCTAAAATTTATTGATTGAAATATGATTGTTGTGTACATTAACGGAGAATGCATTGAGTTGGTGAAAAAAAAGGCTCGGTAATTCGGTGAGTAGGTACAAGTTATCCTTGAATGAAAGACTTTAAACCTACGTGTTAGATTCTTATTTTGGGTATTTGAGGATTGGAGTCACACTGGTGCAAAAGGTTAGTTGTTTCGTGCTAGATCCTTAAAAAGTAATCATGATATTGAAATGAACTTATACACCGATATTATTTTAGTATTTTCATAAATTTGGAATCGTGCCCTAACAAAGAAAAATATTTGAGTCCTGCCCCCATTAAGGAGATTGTGTTTTGCACACTAATCTATCCCAATAAGAGGTTGACTCATCTTTTAAACTTAAAAAAATACAAAATATGAGTTCTACCCAATTTTTAAGGTTAAACCCGACAGATTTATTTTTTCTCTCTCTTTGCTCTCATCTGTGTATATTTATTTACATTTTTATTTTTCCTTAGCAACCAATCATTCCAAACCTAACATTCCCATTGTGTCCTCCACCACTCTACTTCAGATTGGATTTCGATTTCGATTTGGTCTTAGTAATGATTGATTCATTTTCCTAAAACAAGTATGTTAAAACATTATATTTGTCCGGCGTGTTCGGTTCCTTTTACCCTCATTCTTTTTTTATAGAAAAATGTACGTAAAAAATAAAAATAAGATAGAAACCATATAATTGAATGAAAAAATGAATAACTTTCACATATAGCATGCATAAAAAGCAGTTGAGGTAGATTTTAAAAAGGGAGAAATAGAAATGGTTAGTTCAATTTTTTTAAAGATAGTTTTCTATCTTAAGAAAATTAAAAATAACAGAAAAAAAAAAAAGTAGAAAATACAATTTTTCATGAGTTAATTAAAAATAACCATTAAAGTTGAGTAAGAAAAAAAATAGATCACTTAACTATAAAAAATGAATATAACTCATATTTTGAATTTTTTTTTAAATTTAAAAGAGGTGTCAACCTTTTATTAAGACACGTTAGTGTGCAAGACATAATCTGTCTTGATGGGCCGTGACATATTGGTATCAATAAATAAAAGTTTTAACAATTGCAATTTACATGCAAAAATTTTTTTCCCCTTGATAACGGTGTCAAGTGATTTTAATTAGCAATACTAAAACCTAAAGTGAGATCCTTACCATCACATATACTATCTCATTTGAAGGACTCTAAAGTCAAACTGAATCATAGGAACAATATCACAAAGTCAGTCCCACTAATTGGGGGAGTCTGAATGAATGAATGATTTATGATCAACTTGAGTCGAGAGTGGGATTTGTTATGATAATGTATTTATGTCTCGAAATCTTAGAATAGGTTTTCACTTTAGATGATGTGTTTTGTTTACAAAGTTATTTTTATAAAAGTCTTGAAGAAAAAAAAAATGAAAAATCAATCATAATCCTTGACTGATAGTAAAAACATTGTTGTAGGATTTACCATATGTATGTGTATGTATATATATATAATACATAAATACACACATCATCATCGGTAATTAATTAATTAGAAAAGTAATAAATAAATAAAAATATATATATTTTTTTAAATTGAGATACCTCCTTATTTATTACGTTATTGATTTTGTAATTACGTCAGTAGGATCATTTACAAGTCATTAAGATTTTGGTTCTTTTTAAGGAAAAAAAAAAAAAAAAAAAAATCGTGAACAAAATATGTTGTTGTTTATTTAGCTAAACTATTTTCACAAAAACACATTAGTTTTCTTTTCTTTTTATTTTTTTTTATTTTTAATGATAATAAAAGTACTACACAAGCCAACATCAACTAAATTTATCATCAATAATCCCGAACATTGACCCCCTAGAGGGTTAATAATTCCCTACACATCAAAATAGACTAATGTCACGTTCGAAAGTATCAAATTGGTGCCTTAAAATTTGAATTAGAGAAAATTACTTCGAAATCTAAGCGAATTCAATTTCAATTCTAAGGCATTGATTAGCTAAATCTCAAACATCAAAATTTAAATATGTTAATGTTTCCTCCACTTGTTCACCAACTCAGATAGTGATTTTGCAGATGACCCATCTTCACTTAAGACATTTCTAGCAGTATTCTGCAAATATTTCATTTTGTTGCGAATCAAATTCCCTTCTTCTCCTTCCATTAGATTCTTTGCTATTTTTGCAAATTCCTCTCGAAGCACAAGACCATGTTCATTAACTTGCGGACGCAGAGCCACTTTTAGTCCTTCACTTAGCATTAAAGCATTCATCTTTTGCTCCGCATAAAGTGGCCAAGTAATTAGTGGCACCCCATGGACCACACTCTCTAGGGTCGAGTTCCAACCACAGTGGGTTACGAACCCACCGGTCGAGCCATGGCTCAGGACCTCAACCTGTGGTGCCCAAGAATGCACCACCAGGCCTCGCCCATTGGTCCTGTCCAAAAACCCATCTGGTAAAAAACCAAAAGGTTCATCTTGGCTTTGGACACTAAAGAATGCAGCATTGGCAGATCTTTCATTTGGGCTTCTTACCACCCACAAGAATCTTTGGCCGCTCATCTCCAACCCAAATGCCAATTCATCGAGCTGCTCACTAGAGAGGGTCCCACCACTCCCGAAAGCGACGAATAGGACGGAGCCACTTGGCTGGTTATCCAGCCATTGCAAACACTCATGCCCATCCGGTCCGGCACTTGAACCGGTCTGAATAAGAGTTCCTATGGGATAAACCGGCGGTTTACCCGGTTCTTCCACTAGCAAAGCTTTTATAGCCCCCTCTTCCATATCCATGAAAGTGTTCACTAAGACACCCTTAAATAAAGTCAACCGCTTTACGTTACGAAGAATCCCCGAATATGATGGGTTGGACCGGTCTTGAACCGGGTCTATGAAATCTGTTCCATGAACCGGGACGCAACCCGGAAGTTGAAGCGGTTCAGGCAAGTCTCTGTATTCGCATGAAAATGTTTGATCAAGGATGGGCAAATGAAGGCAAAACAACAGTGTCATCGCAGTCGTCGGGAACAGCAAGTACGGCGCGACGTGAAGCTCAACGGCGACATCCAAGGCGTCGGCGCCAAATGGGTCGACGACGAGAGCGACCAAATGGGTTGTCGCAATTAACGACTTTAAGGTGTCGCGGAGGGAGGGAAGAGAGTGAGCTATTGTAAGGAAGATTTGGGTCTCGGCGTTGAGGTCCTGACTCTGGAAGGTGACCGGAGGAAGAAAGGTGTGGTTTACGCCGATGGGGAGGGATTGGAGGACGTCCTTTTGGGCTTTGGGTGGTGGTCCGGTGGTGGGGACGATGATGGTGACGGAGAAGTTGTGGCGGAGAACTAGTCGCTCGGCAAATTCGGCGAGTGGGATGAGGTGACCCATTCCTGGACTCGGTAGGATGGCTATATGGGGTGTTTGATCTATGGTCACTGTGTGTTCGTTAGCGTGTGAGAATCGAATTTAATGGTTAGTGAGTTAGGTTCAGCTGTTTCAATTTATAAGTCATCTTCATTTTCATTTGTGAGTAAAGTAATGAATGACAAACCGTAAGCAGAGATGTCACACGAAAGAGAATTCAACGAAGAATACTAATAGAAACGACAACGTAAGGCTGGTTTTCCTATTTGATTCAACTATAACCAATATTAAATGCATTCATTGATGTACATTTATTGATATATAAATATATGCAATTGAACTTCCGAATATATATGTGTGTGTGTGTGGGGGGGGGCAACTGGAAGTGTTATGAAACACAGGAAGTGCCATGAAATTTATACCGGATCTTATGTTTATTATTATTTTTGAATGATTGGGAATGTGGAAATAGGACACATTGGTAATATCAAAACTTTTGTTAGTGCTACGCTCATTCTAAGTCACATAGGGCTAGGGGCGGAACCAAGGGTAGGCGATGGGGCCTGGCCCTTGCAAGAAATTCAGTATCTTTTATTAGTATAGGTTCAAAAACAATTTAGTAGAACTTGTGTAAGGTAACGAGTACCTTTGGCCCCCGCAAGAAATTTTTTAATTTATTATATATATATATATATATATATATATATATAATTTATTATATCATCTTTACTTCTTTTAACATATTTTAAAATAAAAAATCTTTTTTTTTTTTCAGTTTTTCTGAATCTCTTGTCCCCTGGCCTTAATGATGTTTGTTTGTTTGTTTATAATATATATTATTTTATAATGCTTTGACCCTTTTTCTTTTTTTTTTCTTTTTTTTTGTGTTTCCTTCGTGTACCTCCACCCCACCTCTTCTTTTCCTTGAAATATGGGTCAATTTTGGGTTTTTTTTTTTTTTTCGCTGCATAATGCGTGTCTCACTCAGTCCATCAGATTCTCTCTTCTCAGTTCTCTCTCACTCAGTCTATCACTTTGGCCCCCCAGTCACACGATCCTGGCTCCGCCCCTGCATAGAGCCGGAGTGAAAATGACTAGTCTCACTACTATGGGCTTTAAGCATCTATGTTCCCATACCCATTCTTTGGCATACCCTTCTGGATATGATTCCTTCACACAGTGCTCGTGTAGCCTCTCGGACCTGGCTCTGTTTGGGGTATGCCTCTGCGTGTGTTCTATTACTTGCAGGGGCTCAAGGATGACCTGATTCCTTATAGGAAAACCTATTCTTTGATCAGCCAGAGGGAATGACCCAAAATCTGTATTTCCAGTGGTTTGTGACATAGATACATGATTTATTTGTAATATTTTTCGTAAGTTTTGGTATATTTTCAAATATTTATAATTAATATATATATATATATATATATATAGCAATGCCATACAATTGGAGGCATACGTTGAGTTTAAGTAATTAATGTATATATTTAATAATAGTGTAAGTAATAAATGCATATATGGTAATTATGAAAAATAAATAAATATATATATATAGTAATATAGGTGTTTCATAAATAAATGCATATATGGCAATATAGGTGTTCCATATCACTAATACTCTAGCAAATTGAGCAGTATAAAGTGAATCAGTATGGAAATCGCGAATTAGGAAAATAAATTCGCGAATTGCAAAAAATGAATTCGCCAATTTTGTGCAAATTCGCTCCCAAATCACAAATTCGTATGCCGAGCTTGAGAGCAGACCCTCTTTGAACGAATTGTGTGACTATGGACTCACTTAGTCGAAGTTGTTTTGTACTTATAAGAAGTGTAATTTGGTTAACAATAGTGGCAAATGGAGTCCATTCAATGCACCTACTAAAAAAATTATCTAGAGGCGGTTTTAATGAAATTCGAACTCCCAATCTAAAAAGTTGTAAGGTGAGACGTTAGACTATCTCATTAGGGTTTTATTAAAAATGGGTCATACACTTTGATCGATTGAAAGTAGCCATACACTTTGATCGATTGAAAGTAGCCCAGCAATGTGAAGGTTTACTCCCTAAGAAGCGATGTGCAATAGCAATGGTTATAATATCTTGGCATGTGTTGAATCCTTGTCGAAAGACTAAAAGTCAAACTTGATCATAGGAACAATATCATATACAGAGGAAGTTCACCAAATGGTGATCCTTTTGTATGCATGTAGGGAGTCTAAAACTCTGAATCAATTATGGTAGGATTGGGTATGATTATGTCTCACAATCTTAAATTGATTAGATTTGCACTTTAGATGTGTTTTGTTTAATGAAAGTTGTTAGAAAAGTCCTTGAATAAAGAAAAAGAATTTATAATCCTTGACAAATAGAAATATTATTGTAGGACACCAAATACAAATACTAAAGTATGAGTTGAGAGAGATTCAATCTTCTACTTAAAAAAAAACCTTCTCTTCTTTGCCTCAAACAATTTGTAAAGATAATTAGTGTTAAAAGTATGGTTCGTTCATAAAATGGTCTCGAATGTAGACATTGTGTGATAAAAGCATTAGAATTGAAAACAAATCAAGCCACATACAAGCAAGGTTGTTTAGGACAGGGGAGTGCAGTGTGCACTTAGTAGAACTAGTATGTGTAGAGGCTGTGAAAACTAGTGTCTTAACTTATATAAGGGTGTGTGCAAGGTGTGAGACAGCTGAGTGTGTAATTACTTGCATAAATTATTGTGGTTGGGTTTGTCTTGTTTTTCCCTAATTACAAACTTATCTCTTTAAACAAAACCTCTCTATAAGAGAATCAAAGAGAAAAGTCACCACAAAATGGTCACTGTCATCAATATGACCAAAACTGAACGAATTTGAAATACAAGTGTCAAACAAGTCTCCCAAAATAGTCCAAAATCCACCAACTGCCTCCAAAATTCAAGATGCAAGCCCCTAACATATCCTTCAAAATTCAAGGTGCTACGCTCTATCTGACCATCAGTCATGGTATCGATCGCGATGTAACGAATTCGAACATAATAAATATAAATTGACCGATACGGGTCGCGTATCGAATAATATGGGGAACCATGGTTAAAAGTGAAGAGAGAGGGAGCAGTTATTTTGTGATGGATTTTCTTTGGTGGGCTGGTTTTGTCGGGCTTGGTTTGTACAGCCCCTTGTTTGGGCTTATGGTATTTTTCTTATGTTACTGGCCCCAAGACCACATATGCAATCTAATACCAAAATTCGAAGCCCAGTTACCGGCCATCTATGACAGAAGAAGCACAATCCAAATTGGACAGCTGAGCGTCTATCATGTAAAATGATGGCCGATGCAGAGGTTTTGGGTATGATCTTTTGTTTTGACATCTTTTCTGTCTTTGTTTTATTTTTTATTCATATGAACATGTATCATATAATATGCAAATAGAGGTTCTATTCATGTGTATAAAAATAAAGTTTTTTTAAAAAAAATTATTTTTGCTATAAATCGAATGTGCGAATACTCTCTAGGCATTAAAAAAAAGACACTTATATTTTTTTGAATTGAACAAATAAGAACATTTTCTGAATTTGAAGAATAAAATATCTAAAATATCCTTAAAACAAAATAATATAAAATAAAAACTTAGAAAAATAAAATAAAATAAAAAACACGAGAGGAGAGAGATTATTAAAGGTACTTTGGGTTTTTGCATTTATTGTTGGTAGCTACAATAATCAGACACAAATAACAGCTAACCCCAAAATAGCACAAAAATTAGTAACTTGGGTCTTAACTCCTAAGCCTTAGGTTTAAGTTGAGAGAGAGAGAGAGCGAGAGAGAGAGAGAGAGAAAGAGACCAAAAAAAAAGAATTTGGGTTGAGTCATCTCCATCTTCATCTAAGCATCCCTTTCTCCCCAGCTCACCCTTGTATGATCATGAAATTTTACCAAACAATTTATCATTTTTTTCTTTCCTCTCCTAATCAGAGACTTCTTATCTATTGTACTTCTTTAATGCTACTGGCCCAATGCTATGACAGAAGCACAAGCACAATCCAAACTGGACAGCTGTCCGACAGCTGAGCGTTTATCATGTATGATGGCTGATGCAAAGGTTTTGTATAAGGTCTTTTTGTTTTGACAAGGATATTTTCTGTCTTTATTTTATTTATTTTTATTCATATGAGCATGTATCATATAATCTGCAATATGTGATTGGTAGATACTGCGTGTGCCATCTAATTAAGATTCTATTCATGTGTATAAAACTAGGGTAAAGTTCTTTTAAAATAAAAAATAAAAAATAAAAAGTTGCTATATATACTAAATGTGCAAATACTCCCTAGGTGTTAAAAAAAAAATAAAAAAATTTTACATTTTTCAAATTGAGCAAATCAGGATATTTTCTCAATTTAAAGACTAAAATACCTAAAATGTCCTTAAAACAAAATAAAATAAAATAAAAACTTAGGAAAAATGAAATAAAATAAAAACACAAAAAGGAGAGAGAGATTATTATAAAAGCCCCAAAGTACCTTTAATAATCTCTCTCCCTGTGTTTATTTTATTTTATTTTGTCCTAAAGACATTTTAGGTATTTCAATCTTCAAACTAACTGTCAACAAATACTACGGAGCAATTTGCACATATTTTCAGAAATAAGATCCATATAGCCCCTTAAAAATGTAAAAAATCAATATTGCCCTTTAATATGTAATTGATTTAAATTAAAAAATATCAAAACTCTTAAATGACGCTTTTACCCTTAGTATACACTCGTTGCACCTCACCACTCTCTTTAACTTCTATATAAATATATATTATATGTATATGTATATTGTAAACCCCAAACACCATACCACAACAGAAGAACAACAACCACCACCACAACCACCTAACCTATGGCCTCTAAAACCATAACCCTAACAAACCCACCACCAAATCCCTTACCGTCATTGTTGCCATCACCACCAAGAAATCCATTATCGTTGACCTTTCGAATCTGGCCGCGACGTTGACGTTGTTGCCGAAGACGGGGATAAATATAACGACTCAAATTCGCTAGGTCCAAATCGCTAACCGGGTTATTACCCGAACCCGAAGTCATGCAAGAATAATATTGTCATTTCTCATTAAATTAATACTTAAAGGCCCAACAGGCAAAATGGTCATTTAATATGATTTTGATGGTTGAAGACCCAAAAAGGGTAAAATAGTTATTTGATAGGGCCATCCAATGATTAGGATGAACTCAGGGGGTAATATGGTCATTATTGTGGTTAAAATATAATTAATGTATTTTATTAGGCCATATAGTAAATACTAGCAACATAAATGTGTAATAAAGTATAAAATGGAGAAATAAAACATAACAATAAAAAAAGCAGGAACCAGTGGACGTGTAAACACTACACGTCAACTGGTTTGGGTCATACGGTCCACATATGAGAACTTTATGTCGACCGATTGAGTTATCCAAAGTAGAAATGCTCATTGCCCAAAAACATGAGATACTCGTCGACATGTGGGAACTTTACGTCGACTGATTCTCCTCTATTATGGACACTCGATTCCTTTAATGACTCAGTCAATTACACTCAAACCACCCCAAAACCCAACCACTGAATTACCTCAATTACACAACTAATATGCCAATAAAATATCATTGTACATGTGTGTGTGTATATATATATATATACACAGACACTTACGTTAGAATAACCTAAATAAATCCATTTATCTTGTACTGTTAACAAAATCACGTTAATATAATTTTAGGCTTATTCATTCACATATACTGTGAAATATATAACATATATCCACGTGTAGAGATTTAATAAAATTAAATTTAATTACATTTCCAAAATATACAAAATATACCCAAAAGTGTATAATTACAAATTTTGCCCTTACGGTCATAAATACAATACTTTACAAGAAAATTCATCAACTAAGCATTTGTTACAAAATTATCAAAAGATACTTTCGTCAACTCATAATTAAACTTGTGAGGGTTCTTCATCAACAATTTAATCATCGTAACTTAAAAAATGTTAAAGGAATGAGTGAGCACGGAGGCTCAGTAAAATATGTCTAAGACGCCAACTTTAGACTCCCTTGAGTCACACATCACACGTTGATGATAAAAGAAAACCGGGATCATACTTAGGGAAATTTTATAGTATTCGAATCACATATCAATCTAATCAGTAGCATTAATACAATTTTGTATACTTAGAATGAACATGCAATACAATGCAATGCAAATGGCCATACCAAAAACACCTACATCATCGACACAAGTCACACATACACCGAACTCGTTAATCCAACCTGGTACGAGGCAACTCCCTACTACCTCAAAAGAAGGATTGGTGGTCTATCCCTGACTTAGGGCGACTCCCTAACATCATTTGGGACCTAAGCGACTCAACCACACATGAAGTATTTGTTCCACGTTCCTTCTAGATTACATTAACCCCACGGACACAAGGAGACTCCTCGTCGTCCGGTTTTCGCAAACTTTTTTTAAAAAACATACCTTTGGAAATCAAGTTTCAAATTTTCATACCAACACATGCTCTCTCTTAATGTCATAATGTGGATGTTATACACCAATGCCTCATTCAACTTTCCCACCATGCCATGCACATGAATACAATTGCATCAACTCAATCTCAATTTCACTTACAAGATAACTATGGCATAAACATGACATTTCTCAATCATTCAGTCATAAGCATGGCATTTTCATTCATTTCAAACACAAGCATGCTCTACATAGGATTCACATCATCACAAATCATGTTAGTATTTATAATTTAAGCAACTTTGTACCAAAGTCATATCATCCACATTCTTAGCATGAAATTAAACACATTATTTTGTCATACACTAGCATTCTTCCATCAAATCATTATGTCATCAATTTAGCTCACAATTTGCATATAGAAATGTACTTAAGAGAAATCAAATATATATGTTCAATGAAAGACAAAGTTTAGAGCATTAAACAACCCCTACCTTAATTGTGTGCAACCAAACAAGCCCTAAGGCTAAGCCAAAATTCAAAATCCTCATAACACTTGCAACATTGGTCTAAAATGGAAGCCCTCTCCAAGCTCTACAACTTCTTCTTCTTTCTCTCCTCCCGAATCACACTCTAAAGCTCTCAAAAATGAATTTGAAACATGGAGCTACATAGATACATATAAGCTTATAGATATAGAGAGAGAAAGAGGAAGAAATTAGAGAGAGTGAGGAGGTGGCCGAATGGGGAAAAAAATGAGGGGATGATGGTGTCTTGCAAATACCTCCATGGCCAATATTGTACCAAGTGTCAAGCCCTCAATGGTTATAACTTTAAGCCAAGTTATAAACATGCCCTCACTCTTCCTTTGCAATGCCATCCAAGTCCCTAAAATATCTATCTCAATGTATAAATATAGATGTATGTATATGTATGTGAAATGTCTACAATACCCCTCAATGAAAATGGCAAAACTGGGAGAGAGATTCCCAAGTATGGAAATCATCCCAATTTCCAAAATTCTAAAATCAATCCCGTTGCCTCTAATTGATTTTAAATAATTAAAATGCACTTCTAAAACCCTTGGCTCAAGAAAATGGCATAAACGAGGTAAAAAAAAATAAAAAAAAAAATCCAGGATTTTATAATAAAACTCATCCCTGTGATGACCACGCGTTTCTCCGAATCCTTCTCGAGCTTGGGGGTGAAGGTTGTTGGATTGATTGACGGTGGTGGTAGTGGTTGGTAGCAGTGAATTTATGGGTTTCAGTATAAATTTGCAATGGATTTGTGGGTTTCAGTATGAATTGTTTGAGTTCTAAAACAAAAGAGAGAATGTCTATGTTGATGGTCAGTAATGGTAGAGGATGTGGTGGTGTGGTGCGACTGATCAGGGATAGTGTAATTGGAAAGAACGATGGGTGGGTAAAGAATATCACACTGAGCAAATCACACTCCCTTGCCGTGCAAAAGGAATATTCCAACAACGCTCGTGAAAAAGATGACGATGTTAGTTTTTTTTGTGGTTTTTGGCCGAAATTAATGACTGAGAGGAGGTATGATCTTGGAAGTATATATATATGTGTGTGTGTATGTGTTTGAAGATTTGAGTGTGTATATGTGTGTGTTTTGAAGATTTGGGTTTTGAATTCGCATCATCCTTTCTGTTTGATTTTATCCTCCTCGATTTCTTTTAGCCCTAATTGTATTGTCATTGGCAGCTTGAAGTTCATTGCAGCCTAGCGCAATCACATCTCAGTTAGCAAGTGTAACAAGGTGGAGTGGTGGTGGTGGTGGTGATGGTGGGTAAGAATTCCACGACCAATGGCTTTGATGAACCATCCATTGATAATGATGATGGGTTTAATGGTTGATCAAACATATAGTCCATTAATAATATGTATATACAAATTATGTTTGATTTTTTTTTTTTTTAATAAATATTATACAAGGGTAGAAAGGTAATTTTATTATTTAAATTAGTAAATTCATAAGTCAAAAGGTAACAATGTCAATTTATTATGTGTCAGAAGTGATGAAGATATCTTTTGTAACTTTGTCAAACTCGAAGAGTTGTTATTGTCCAAAAAAAAGGCTCAACTTGTATATGGCTATCCTTATAGCAAACCTCAAACCTCAAGGGATGTCATTTTTGTGACACCCCACATTTTTCACGCATAAGTTGATCAGGCTTATACACGAAAATGAGAGATATCAAAAACAATTGGTAATATACAAGCATGGAATACAAAATAATAATAATAGAAAATTTTAGACAGGAAAGGAAAACTAAATAATAAAACATCCATCCATCCTTTATTAAGTACAATACTCCTTTATACAACTTGGAAATCCTATGTTAATGATCCCTAAATATAAACCTGAAAGTTCAACGTCGAAAATAAATAAAACTGAAACTAAAATAATACATAAAACTTCTACCTTGAACAGGACCATAAGAGTAGATGAGTTCGGATGGTGGTCCCACACTGTTAAGCCTCAACCTTGAAACGGGTACTGACCGTGTCCTGAAATAACAACAATGGTGGATCAACCCCACGAGCAAGTCCTCTCTACTATGACCCAAATCAGATAATCAAATAAATTAATCATTATTATTCAGAAGTATACTATATCTGTATACACCCTAATGAAACTACACAGTGTGTAATATGACCTCAACCAGATAGACGGTGATCACTTAGACTCACACGAGGTGGTTAAGTGTCTCCTTTCCCTACCTGGGAAATCAGCTATTAATACATGGTGCACGGTACTGACAACACAGACTATAAGTCCTACACAGTGGTAACGCATCTCAAGGTACTAATGAATATACTGAGCATATCACTTAGGCAACACATGCCAATAATATTAAACCACATACCCCGACAGCCACACATCTGTCTATGGCAACGAATGCATAAGGTATAAATGAGTCTCAACTTATTAGTCAGCTCACATGGTTCATATGGCAACACATCCATATAATATAAATGCGACATAATTTATTAAGCAGTCCATTTATTACCTGAAACGCACCCAGTATAATAATAATGATTTACATATCAATAAACAACATAAATAATCTCATAATGTATAATGGACAATTTATATGAAGAAAATCATGTAAACATTTAATTTAACATCAATGATTAGTACCATTTAAAATAATAACACAATTAATATTTAAGTATGTCATTAAATTAATTACATCCATTTAATAGCGAACCGTACTGTAAACGATACAATTATTGTTTAGAAATATTAATTGGACATCATAATAATTAACGGGTAACAAAATAATAATTTAATATCCCGTTAATCCCGAAAATACCAACCCGAGGCCAAAAAATGCAAGTTGAAGGTTCTAGAAATTACAAAAACAGTTCCTAGGGGTATTCTGGACTTTTCCAGCAGCTATAGGGGTCCCTCACGCGCCCCCACGCGCCTAGCAGAGCTTCCCACACGCGCCGCCACTTTTCTCACACGTGCACGCGCACGCGCTTACACGCGCCTTCACACACATCTAGAACCAGTCACACGCGCGCAATGGCCATCTGCTGATGCGGCGCTTC